GAAAACATATACGGCACTAAAGCAGAACTCACACAACACACTCTACTGAAATTCCAGACTATATATCTCTGGCTGACTTCCACAGACTCAGCAAACCTCAGTGAACAGGGAGAGTATTCCAATAGTTGGACATGATAGTCTCAGTATGGTTCTCCTCAGTACGGTTGTCCAAGGAGGAAAAAGAAAACATCAATACTAAAATTAATTTAAAATTAAGCTGTATTTCAGCTGAATGAAGCAAATACGGCACTTATTGTTCCAAATAATTATCGTAACACAACATGGCTTCAAAGAGAAAGGCCTCTACCCCACTAACAGCTATGTAGTTGATGTTCATTATTGCAGGCTTAATGGGTCATGGATGCAATATTGAGCTGTGTCCGACCACATGGAAAATCGTTCGGGTCGCTGGCTGTACAGAGCAGGGGGGGAACCATAGCTGAACTTACCAGAGAGTCCAGACTGTGGGGAAGTACAATGAGCAAATAAAGAGTGAAATCTGGAGCAGAGCAGTTGAAGGGGTTTCAGGCCGGTTCAATCTTTCACAGTAAGCACTCCGTTTTTTTTCTTAGCATAGCAAATACCATACCTTATCCAAAATACCTTGCCGTAATGCTCTTCTAATACAATAATTAAATTATTTAGCTGTAAGACATTCTTTAGCAGGTTTTAAAATCTATTTTACCTTCACAATATGTAATTAAATTATCTAAATGCCAAATAAATGACGAAATGAGGTGAGAGTCGAGAATTGCACAGCACTCTTTTAATAAAACGATCATGGTTAATTATATGACTCAAAACGAACTGTAATCATGATCAAACTCCAGTCGTACTTTTCCACCTGACATTTTATGTTGTTAATAAATTGGAAGAAACACGACAGTCAGTGAAGTTTGTGTCACTTCGGTTCATGTTTGCCTCCGCGGCCTTTACGCTGACTTTAAAACAAGCTGATACCACAGCAAGCCGACTGAAAATCGGACTCTTAACTATTACTGCAGTCAGTTTTAATCCACTAGCAAACTAACGTATTGGCAGTGAGCGTAGTACAGTACAGTCTGATACTGTACACATACCGAGGCTACCACGGCTCATCACTCAGGTAGAAAACAATAAAAACTCACCGGGCTCAAAATCGGGGATTGTGGCCTGGTAGTCTGCTCCAACACGCATTCCTACATCTGGAAAACACAAACAACAACCACGAAAACAGTTTAATTTAACTAGTCATATTCAAAACACGGACATCGGGAGCGGTAAGAAGCTGTTCGAGGCTATATCACCGTGTTCGTCGTCGCTGCCACTTTCGTCAGAAAAATGTCCGTTAGAGGCTGTGGATGGACTTTTGGTGCCATTTGAGCGACCCTTCCCTAAATAATCCGAGCCCTTTTCCATCATGCCCGGCATCTCTGCGCTCTGATTCACCGATTTTAGCTTCTATGTCGGGATATAAAATGTCAGCAGGAGCTGGACGTTTTTCTTTTGCTGCTGTTTATTCCGTCGCCGCAGCTCTATCCGTGTCGCTGTAACCCTACTCGTGACTCTCACCGTGCTTGCACGGTTAATTCCGGCTGCGATATGCTATGTGTAACAACCGAGCAATCTCTTCTTAGTTTTTAGCAAATCTTTAATCCAATTTGTTCCTCCGAGGGATATTTTAGTTGCGTAGACCTGTAGCTGGGGGCCTAACCATGGCGGCGGAAGTCTTTTTACGCACCTTTGGGTGCGGTAGTGCGACTCCTGCTGCTGCGGTACCGTTGAAATGAGATTCCTCCGCCGAGACAAACTGAAGAAGAAAAAAAAACAGTCAAGAGGTTTAGTGCCAACAAAATGCAGATTCAGCATTAGGATAACGCAACGGTGAATGCAGAATATCCGGAAACTGTAAATATTACCAATAAATCACATTGTAAATGTCATAATTTCAAATAAATTCATGTCAGGTTATTCTTATATCGTATGTCAGGTTATTACAGACTGTATACTGTATGTCCTACCAGTGACAACACTTAATGATTACCTGTTATCCTGTTATTCTTGTTTAAAATTTGCTTATTTACCCTTCTGCGTGGACTGTCTGCGACCAGTAGAGAAAGATCCCGCACAACAATGAAGCATTTAAACTGCACTGTAAGCTAAAGGAATCCACTAACACATAATATCTGTAATAACGAAGATACTTGCAGGTATATAAGCCTTCAGACTCCCTGTGATTTATTTAATCACTTGGTTTGAAAAAAGTGTTTGGCCCCTTCAGGATTTTCTATTTTTTTATATGGTCGTCACACTTAAATGATTCAGATCATCAAACAAATTTTAATATTGGAGAGAAAAAAACACAAGTAAACACGAAATTCACTTTGTAAATGGTGCTTATTATTAAGGGGGAAAAATCCTAACCCTACATAGCCCTGGGTGAAAACTAACACAGGGCCATGTAAGTTGATGACAAAGTACCTGTTCTTCATCGGCTGGGAGCAAAGCAGTTTTCACCTGAACGCTGCACTGTAAGTGTTAGTGATTGTCTCTGTCCTTTAAGGCTGCTTCTCTATTGTTTCTCTGAAGATTGCTAATTCGTCATCTCTTCTGTGCAGAAGCCTGGATGTTTCCCTGGCCAAGTGTTTTTGTGAGTGAGAGAGAGCCAAGGAGGAGATTCTGTGTCTGCATGGATTTAAAAGTGTAAATTTGATTCACCCACAGAGTTACTTTTCCCAATTTATAAATATAGTCTGTGATTAATTACTTGATTGAAGATGCTGTAAATAACTTCTATGAGGACTGTAAATAACTGGTCGTGCATCAACATACAGGATTACATTAAGCATGTGATTGGGTACATTAGCACTTTCGTTAACAACAATGCCAACACCATTAACATGGTCATTCCCCACAAACACACCCATAAACTGTCTACACTTGGCCTGTACCTCACCTGGACTCTTTGACTGGGAAGCCTCGGTCTGTCAGTGTTGGTAATAAACCTTCAGCCGGTATTACTATAAACATGGGCACTCCACAAAGAGGCATTTTCAGTCCCATCCGCTACACTCTGTTCACCAACAACTGTGTTACCTATCACAAAGATAACATCATCTTAAAGTTTGTGGACAACACCATCCTGATAGGACACAGTACATACAAAGCAACCTACAGAAGGGAGGTCTGATGTCTATGTGCGAGAACAACAACCTCACTCTCAACACAGCCAAGACAAAAGAGATCATAGTGGAAGAAGAGGAGATTCCACCTGCCACCGGTCATCTGGGAGCTGGAAGTGGAGAGGGTAAGCTGTTTGGGTATCTACATCAGTGAGGACGTGTAATACCAAGTAGTCTGGTATGTTGCCTAAAATCCTCAGCAGTGTCTACAGCTGCATTGTGGAGAATATCTTGACCAGTACAGTAATGCCAGTGCTATGCACCACAAATGCCTGCAAAGTAGTGAGGACTGCCAAACAATTTTCAAGTTTTCACAATTGATTATTAAGTATTTATTGGCATCAGACAAACTGTAAAGGATGCCACTGCCTATTGAACAGAATTTTTGTAATATGGAACAATAAAAGCATTAATGTGATTGGTTAAAAAAGTTGGGCCAAGGCAAGGGTTTAAACTTGGCCCTCCCTTTATGGTCTTTGTCCATCCCTTGGTCATGCTTCATCTTCTGCACTGGGCTTGTCCTGCAAGATAAGAGCAGACAACTCCTCCCACTTCACCAGGGCAACAGCTCTGTCAGCCCTGGGGTGAGAGGGATGAAAGAGAGAGAGAAAGAGAGAGCGCTCTTCTCTAAAACTTTTGAATATAACTTTTGAACAAGATGGAAAAAAAGTCACAAAATACTTGCACTATAAGAAAAATTCCAAAAACAAGCAGCATAGCCTGCTAATCTTCTGTCAAAAAGTTATTAGGCCTTTTTTAATGAAATAAATTGATTTTTACAGTAATCGCCATTAAACAGGCATTCAGTTATTGGTAAAATGGAAACATTCTTATTTACAGCACAGCCTCTGTATCGATAACTTCTTTATCAAATCTGTACCACTAGTACTCAACACCTGTAGAACTAATAACACGTAGGCTTCATTTTGTGTTAAATATAAATCTATTTTATTTCACTCTATTTCTCCTTTGAGAAGATCAGTAAATTGCAGTTACACCAACATGAATAAATAAATTCACAAACTGAACATCTTTTAAACATACTTTCCAGATAAGTTGTATCTCATGTGAATGTGTTCTTATATATGCATTCAAGTATTCGCTCGTCTATTGTAAAACACATATGATCTTGGGTATCGTCTGATTCTTAATCCATAAAGTTCAATCTCATGTCGACCCAGCCTTTGCAACTATCACAGCCGAAATTGTGGTTTATTAAAATGGGACAAACAGACAAATGGCACAGCTGTCGTGCCGAAAATAAATGCGCACTATCACAATATCATAGTGCCTTTTCCAGTTACGATCACATGGCCGCAAACTCGGTACAGTAGAAATGCGGTATAGCTTACAAACGTAGTCCTTGTGCGTGTGTGTGTGTGTGTGTGTGTGTGTGAGAGAGAGAGAGAGAGATTTCACTGTATTTCTAAGTTTTTTCACTTAGAAAAAACGGTGAACCTGTCAGAGGGCTGAAGACTTGAAAACTATTTCTCTTTGGAAAAGCGAGCGAAATCCCTCACCTCGGGAAACCCAGGTGCAACACTTTGAAGCACATTGGTTCCGTTTAGGTGGCCCCACTTTACATTTTCAGCATAAAGTAAAAAAACAACAACACACATTTGTTTTCACTACAGGTGCAATTACTTACTGTGGTACGTTTTCTTAATACCGAAATATTATGTCTGCAGTGTTTTTAATTACAATCAGTGACGTGATGATAATGTAATGCTCACTGTATAAAGCATCAATACGCCTCTCTCACTCCTCTGGCATCCACCCTCTCTCCCCACATATGTTTGAAGCTCGCTCTATCACAGCCAGTCTCTGGCCCATCTCGAAGCTTGTGCAGCAATAATCTGCCAATAGCGAGCCTGCTGAGGTGGGGAGCGAGCGAGCACAAGCACATACTATACAGCGTGCGAAGCTCGTGTTTATATGTAATATGTGAGCGGCAGGAAGCAGCTCGCTCTGCTCATTGCAGAAGGACGGCAGGATGGCGAGAGGACGGCGGGGTCTCGTGGCCCCTCAGAACACGTTTCTAGAGAACATCGTCCGCCGGTCCAACGGTAAGACACGATCCGGTTCTGATCTATTCTGCGCCTGGCTTCAAATGGTGATAATATATTTCTTATATATAATGTTTTGTGATTTTGTTGCTCATTTCGCCTTCAGGCATAGCCACATAAACACACACGGGCAATTGCTAAAAACCTAAGTAGTACTGAAACCACAAGTAATTATGGTTTAAATTTATTATGGCAGCTCTTTACTTTCAGTGATGGCTATTCCTCTCTCTCTCTCTCTCTCTCTCTCTCTCTCTCTCTCTCTCTCTCTCTCTCCCTCCCTCTCCCCCCACACACACACACACACACACACACACACACACACACACATATATATATATATATATATATATTCACACGTTGTAACAATTACAAAAGGCACATAGGCTCCTTATTAACAAGTAGGGGTATGGCAAATCAATTTCATAGAGCAAAGTTTATTAGATAAACAACTACCAATTTAGAGCTGCAGAGAATAAAAACAAACTAAATAGCAGGGCTGACAGTACCAAACCGTTAAGACAGTTTATTAATAAACATTACTTTAAAGGACCAGGTTCACTGCCATGATGCTGCCCTTGGTTAAAATAGCAGCTCAAGAAAATAGTTAACTAAAATGGTGGAGACTAGCCACTTGAAGGCAACCTACAGGGAGGAGGGACCAAGGGTGCCACCAATCACTCACCCGTGCAATCTTTCTGAAATCCTCACTGCCACTCTCACTGCAAGTTAAATGGCCCGTTATACTTGTTTCCCGGTATGTACACTCCAATCCACAAAAGGGAATTCCACCACACGTGCCTAGCCCCCCTCCCCCTGCAAGCAGCTGTGTCTTCACTAAAGAAAATTAAAATAAACATGCATATCAAGCAATACAGAACACAAAATTCAGGAAATATTATATACAGGAATACACACACACACACACACACACACACACACACACACACACACACACACACACACACACCGTTTAAAATACAATTATTAGCAGTACAACTAAAAGCATGATTAAAATATAACAAACTGTTAACACTAAAGCACTATAGAACAAGGAACCAATCGATGCCAGTCAAACACAACAGCAACAAAGCAACAAAGGGTACAAGACAGCAGCGGCGTGTAGGCCTGTAACAAGAGAAAGAAACCAGTTATCCAGGGTCCACCCTACTTCTAAAAACAAAGAAAAGTACAAATGAACTTAAAAACAGCAAAAGTACGTAAGTGCAAATTGCATCAATAAATAATATGTACACTATAAAACTAAGAAAATTTTCTAATTGTTACTCGCTGCTCTCTATGGGCGTATTTGCTTTAACTAAAGCCACACTAATCAGGGGGAATAATTATTTTACTAAATCACAGCCTGTATAGTAACATACTACATTTACCTTTGCTGTAAGCTAACATTACCATCACACCTCACTGAATTGAATAAAATTACTCAGCTGCCTTAATTCAAACTGACACTACTCTACATTTATAATAATAATAATAATCAGTTTGTGGTTCCAAGTTTCACAAGAAACAATTTTCTTGAATGTTTTGCAAAGTACTGGTTGTTAAAGTAAATCCCTTTTTTGCTGCTAGTGCTCTCTCAGAAATGCCCAGACTTGTCCCATTGTTGCTTATACTAGGAAATGTAAATGTGCTGCATTGGTATCGAAAAGATACTTGCAAAATGGATGGATGGATGGATGGATGGATATTTTTTTTTCATATCACCAGGTACTAATTTAAATGCTAGGAAGTTCCTCTAGACATGCTTTGAATTACACCAGCCATTATTCAGTAAAAGGGGGTAACTGCATCTCTAATTCAAAAGACATTCATGAAGACTCAAGAAGGAATGCAGCACACTAAATCCAGTGCCAAGACCATGACCATGCTGGAAAAGATAAGCAACTTTAATGACTTGAGTTTTCATTCATTATATTTATATGATGTCAATTTACAACAGTCACTTCAAGGCACTTTTATATTGTAAAGACCCTAAGACAATAATAGAAGAAAAATAGAGTAGTTAGAGGAAGATGTCCGTGAAGGTTATCAGTCATCCAGGTCATCGTAGTCAAAGGAGCTTGGAAAGAAAAGCGTCTGGACTTTTTTAAGTTGCTTGAAGACGTTTCACCTCTCATCCGAGAAGCTTCTTCAGTTCTATGGTCAAATGGTGGAGAGTCCCAGATTTAAGATCTGTGGAAGTAACCCACCATGAGGGACAATTGACCCAATAATGATCCTCTACCTAATCACATGAGCCAAGGTGTGAAAATGGGTGTAGGTCACAATCAGCCAAGGTTTCGGGTGAGCTCATTGTGAAACCTAGCCCATGTGATTTCCTGAGGTCAGATGGCCCAGGATGTGAGTGGGCGTTAAGGCGTCTGGGAAGGATCTCAAAACTGGATTATAGATGGCAGACAATTAGTGTCGTAAACCACCGCCTGAGAGCAATGAGAGGCGAAACGTCTTCAAGCAACTTAAAGAAGTCCAGACGCTTTTCTTTCCAAGCTCCTTAGCGTACTTAGAGGAAGTAACAAGCAAGACAGTATTTTCCCCATAGTAGCTTCTTTTCATTGCCTTCGTGTTAAATCCAGAATCAAATTTCAACGTCCTTCTCCTTATGTAAGGTCTTGAATAATCAGGCCCCATTTTACCATCCATATTTTATCTGTGAAAAGTGCTTTATAAATAAATGTTACTTACTTAATTACTTTCTTAGCCTCTGGTTCCTGAGGTAAAAGTAGAATGTGGGGCAGAAAAAAAAGAGTTTTTCTTTTCTGCCGTCGCCTTATTTCCTCATAGAACATCTGATTGTTGGGGGTGGGATGGGAATCAAGAACCAGTTCCCAGGAGTTCAATTCCTTTGAACTGTTAGTCTGTGTGCCTGCTCATTGATTCCACTTGCACTTGTACTACAATCAGCTGATTTTGGCACATTCTTAAAGGTGGATATAGACATTACTTTTATTTTTAATTCACAAAAGGACAAAAATACAAGAGTAAGTGGAACCTCCATCCAGGACAAACACATTTTGCTGCCAACACAAATTCGGCTCTTTGCAAGTACCTGCACAGACAACATGCTAACACTAAGCTAGCTAAAAACCTAGATTGATGTTAAAGCTGAGTGAATCCCATCCCTGGTCCAGCAACTAGACCCTGAACTTCAACAGGTAACAAACAAATCAGTAAGAGAATCAATAAGTAATATCACTTATCCATACCAATAATAATGGTATTGGAATTGATAAATTCTTATTAATTCCCATCCACTATTAGAGGTTTCCCCTCTGTTATTGGAGGGTCCCAACCTTACAAATCAAATCAAATCAAATCAAATCACTTTTATTGTCACATCACATGTGCAGGCACACTGGCACAGCACATGCGAGTGAAATTCTTGTGTGCGAGCCCCACAAGCAACAGAAATGTGCAAACACAACAACACAAACCAGCAAATACAAGAATGGCTACATCTGAAACTAATAAATATATGTACAATATATAATAGTGTATGCATTTCTGGATGTGTATACTAAATATTTTCCTACGTGTGTGTGTGTGTGTGTATACACATTTTACAAATTAAATAGTAAAAAATAAATAAATAAATAAAATATATAAAAATATACAGAGTTGAATATGTGCAAAACAAGTGGCATTTATATACAGTATGGAGTGCATAGTGTTGAAGTTCCAGTAGTGAAGCTGAGGTGTCTATGAAGTGTTCAGCAGTCTGAACAAAACGCACGTGGAGGACACTGTTGTGATTTGGCACTTTATAAATTAACCTGAATTGAACTGAATTGAAAAATGACTGTCTTTTAATAGCACAGGTATTAAGTGTAGGCCAGTTGGTTATTAAATAAAAAGAAGCATCATAATTAGTTTAACACTGATTTTACAGGTGTAAAAGTGAGGCAATTATTTATTAGTTTAATTTACCACTTAATTGATTAGCAATAATTACTTACGTAATAGTTAGCTTAACTTAGCTTCTCTATTGGGTTTGGTGCTATTGAACAACCAAAATATTTTATCAGAATAATGTGGACTCTGGAAGGCTGCAATGGGCATTTTTTAAACTAGTTGTTGTAGCCCTCGTGAAATGTGGAGAAATATTGTGTATGCTGGATTCATATAATTTTTCAGTCATGTGATGTTGCGAAGTAGGGCAGACTATCACTTATTGGTTTCTGTGGTCAGATACCAATTTTGTGCTGGGAAACGCTCAGATCGTGGAGTGGCCAATCGTCTATAGCAATGATGGCTTCTGTAAACTCTCTGGCTACCATCGTGCTGAGGTCATGCAAAAGAGCAGCACCTGCAGGTACCACAACACACATGGATACCACCGCATGGATTATTGAGGACTGATTGTCTCAAGTAAATGTGTACTGTATCAATGCAAATACTTGGTTTTCCTCTGCAGCTTCATGTATGGAGAGCTGACAGACAAGGAAATGAGTGAGAAGGTTCGACAGACCTTTGAGAACTACGAGATGAACTCTTTTGAGATTCTGATGTACAAGAAAAACCGTGAGTATTTAACAGTACTGGATATGACCGTGTAAGCTGCATCCAAAAATGTTTGTATGAACTGCTTCCTCAAAAACCCAGATACCTAAGGATCTCAAGAAATCTAGAAATTGTATATATGCTAATCTGGGACACACCATGCTAAAAGCTCACAGCCTTTTAATTACCTAGCCAGGGGTCAGCAACCTTTAACACCCAAAGAGCCATTTGGACCTGGTTTCCACGCAAAAGAAAACACTGGGAGCCGCAAATACTTTTTGACATCTAAAATGAAGATAACACTGTATATATTGTTTTTTTTACCTTTATGCTTTATGTGAACAACTAAAGTAAGTAAAGTTTATTTATTAAGCGCTTT